CGCTGTGAGTTGTGGGCTCTGGAAGAGACGACGGTAGGTGACCGCTATCAGTTTTGGAGGCAGGGCCGGTGGTGTCCGAGTTACTGCTGGTGGCGCTGCGCTGTAGGTGGCGTGTGGTGGTACGCGGTGTCGACAGGAGCTGCAATTTTGCAGTGTACCAAGGTGGGGAAGCCGGCGACCTAGGGTTTTTTTTGCTTTTTTTCAGAGAGAATTGCAAACAGGTTGTAGGGGAGAGAATAGAAAATTTAGATTGCAGAGAGTGAAAATGAAAGAGAGAAGTGCAAGAGTCAACCCCAATCTGAGGAAATCAAATCATTGTCAGAGCGTGAGGTAAGAACAAATAAAATGACCAATACAACCTCAAAAAAGTTGAACAGAGAAGGGCACTTGAGTCAAAAGACTCACAACTACAAAGTATATCCAAATGACCTTATTGACCTTCTAAATTAGTTAAAAATACTGAATTTGTGTGTTTTCAATCAAGGTCATTTCAATAATTGGCAAATAAAATGCCAAATGTCAATCCGAGAATATCGCCACTTGTCGCCATTTAAGGCCTTTTATATCTTCATATATAATAGTAGAGATATTGTGGCTCTGTGCCTGAAATAAATATAAATATAAGCAGTATATGTTAGGTTTCACATACATAAATATGAAATATATAGTACAAAGCTTGGTAAGAGAATCAGGAAAAATAGGCATCTTATGTTTTTACAGGAAAACCTTAAGAATAGAGAGAACAAGGAAGCAAACAAACAAATAAATATCTCATGTTGTAATAGATATGTTATCAACTCTGCTCGTTAAGAATTGTTAGGGTCGAATATAGAGTGTTTACGTAATTTTCTAAACTCATAACTTAGTTCGTGTTGGGCTCAGATGCGCAATGCGGAAGATGTAAATTAAAATATCAAGGTAAAATAGTGAACAATAATCTCAATCCCAGTAACTCAAGAATGACAAAAGAAAAATCTCTTACAATAAAACAGGAATAATTCTTTTCTGATGTGGAAGTTCAGATTAAACTGCGACCACAGAGCATACTAAGAATATTC